GCGCACCCCCTGTGGTGTCGAGAAAGTGCCACGCCTGCTAGCCTTTGCGCCAGTATCGTGGATAGCGGCCGAGCTGAGAGACCACCCCCTGCGCACCCCCTGTGGTGTCGAGAAAGTGCCACGCCTGCTAGGCTGTGCGCCAGTGTCGTGGATAGCGGCCGAGCTGAGAGACCATCCCCTGCCCACCCCCTGCGGTGTCGAGAGAGTGCCACGCCTGCTAGGCTTTGCGCCAGTGTCGTGGACAGCGGCCGAGCTGAGAGACCAACCCCTGCGCACCCCCTGTGGTGTCGAGAAAGTGCCACGAGCTGTGCTGTGCTGTGCTGAGCTGAGCCGTGCTGGGCTGTGCTGAGCTGTGCTGAGCTGTGCTGCGTGCTGAGCTGAGCTGAGCTGTGTGCTGTGCTGAGCTGTGCTGTGCTGTGCTGTGATGTGCTGTGCTGTGCTGTGCTGAGCTGTGCTGTACGAAGAGTGAGGTGTGTCGCGGGTGCGGCGCGGCAGGGAAGAAAACCAGAACCCCACGAAGCATGTCGGGAAAAACACTATGCGGTGACATTTTTTGTTCTAACCTAACACTTGTTCGCGAATCCCTTTCCAAAAATGGGACGAAGTGCGCACGCGCGCGTCGTCGCGCGCGCATGCCGAAATCCTTCAAAAACCTCCGGTGCGGGAAGGATTTCGCAATCGAGTTTCCAAAAAACATACAAACACACAGGGTTTCGCAACACTGATTTGCTAAAAAAGCTTCCGCGCGAGCTCTTGCGAAATCTTAATAAAACCATTGGTTTTTCAAGGTTCTCACAAAATGCTCTTAAACGGGCTTCGCGCGCGCGCATGTCGAAATTTGTCGAACGCCCTTGCGCGTGTGCCGTCGCGAGAATCGATGCAAAAAATGGGACGACGTGCAGACGCGGGCGTCGTCGCGCGCGTATGCCGAAAACCTTCAAAACCCATCGGTTTCGGAAGGAGTTCAAAATCGTGTGTCCAAAACATACAAAAACACAAAGTTTCGCAACACGGATGTTCAACAAAAGCGTGCGCGCGTGCTCTTGCGTCGTCGTCGTCGTCGTCGTCGTCGTCGTCGTCGCCGTCCTCCCACCTCCCGCGTCGTCGTCGTCGTCGTCGTCGCCTACGTCGTCCTCTGTCTTTCCTCGTGTTCGTCGTCGTCGTCTTCTTTGGCGTCGTGGTCGTTTCCGTCGTCGTTGTCGCCGTGGTCGTCCTCCTCCCTCGTCGTCGTCGTCGTCCGTCGTCGGCGTCTCGTCGTCGTCCCTCCTATTTCGTCACCGTCGTCGTCGTCGTCGTTGTCGTCGTCGTCTTCCCTCTCCCCTCGTCGTTGTCGTCGTCGGCGTCGCCGTCCTTCCTCCTTCTTCGTCGTTCGCGTCGTCGCCGTCCTCCCTTCTCCCTCGTTGTTGTCGTCGTTGCCGTCGTTGTCGCCGTCGTCGTACTCCCTCCTCCCTCGTCGTCGTCTTCGTTGGCGTCGTCGTCGTCTTCGTCGGCGTCGTTGTCGTCGTCGGAGACGTCGTCGGTGTCGTCGTAGTCGTTGTCGTCGGTGTCGCCGTAGTCGGTCTGAAAAGGTTTTGCAAACCAAGTTGCGGGTGGGTGGGTGGGATGTTTGCGCGAGCCGTGGAGATGACGATCGTCATAAATTGCACCACATCGGTCGCACCACATATATCGCACAACATGGATTACGCAATCTATATTGCACAATAAAGGTTGCACCACATGTCTTGCTTCGTTCAGACTGCACAACATACATTGGGCCACACAAATTATTATACACAGGTTGTACCACCTAGAACGCACAACATATACTGCAGCACATCAAGCGCAGCAACTAAACTGAACCGCATATACTTCACCATTAATAGTGTTCCACCCACAGTTGCACCATATAGCTTGCACCGCCTAGATTGCACAACATAGAACGCATACTATATATTGCATAACACCTATTGCCTCACACAAAGTGCATCGCATTCATTGTTCCACATTAGATCCACAGCACAGAGTGTATTTCATGGGTTGCACTGTCTGTATTGCACATCATAAGCTGCACCTAGGTTGCACTGCACACTACAGTATGCGCCACAAGACTTGCACACGAAGGATTGCACAACACAGATTGCACAGCATTGGCTGCTAGAATCACACTGTTAGGGGCCCACGCTGGCTAACATTCGTAAGAGTAGCAGCGCCGTGCGCTAAATCTGATTGATTCGCTCACGAACTGCTCGCTGCTGTACTTCCCTGGATCGGGCAACTCGCCCCAGTCCGCTGCGGGCGACTGACTGCTGAGGAGGGAGGGGAGCTTGAAGCCGTGTCAAGATTCCACGCGCGCGTGGCCTGAAAGGGCTGGAACATACGGCAAATCAGAATGTTTCCCGCTGGTCCGAAGGATCACCGGTGATGCACTGTTGTGTCCGGATTCCACGCATGCGTGGCTTCGGGAGGAGGAGGAGGAAGAGGAGGAGGAGGAGGAAGAGGAGGTGGCAGTCCCCCAAGGAGATGCGAGGTTAAATCTGAATGTGCGTAAGACACCACTTCTCTGAACCTCACAGGAGCCCACGAAAGAGGCGACCTCTGCAGCCCCCCAAGAAGACGCGAGTTCTGGTTTGGATGTGCGTAAGACACCACTCTTCTGGACCTGCCAGGAGCCCACGAAAAGGTCGACAGTTGCGCAGGCAGTAGCCTCCCTGATCGAAAGACGCGAGGTCTAGTATGGATGCGGGTAAGGCACCACCGCGCTGGGCCTCCCAGGAGCCCGGCGACAGTTGCGCAGGTGTCAGCCTTCCAAGGACGCGAGGTCCAGTCCGGATGTGAGACACCACTTCGCGGAACCTGCCAGGAGCCCACGAAATCCGCAACTTCTGCGCAGGTGACAGCCCCCCATGGAGACGCGAGTTCGAGTCTGGATGTGCTATGACACCACTCCGCTGGAACCCCCAGGAGCCCACAAAAGGGGCTACTGCTGCGCGGTGGCAGCTCCCTGGGGAGCCGCGACGTCTTGTCCGGATACGCGTAAGATACACATCCACTGGGCTTCCCAGGAGCCCACGAAGGTGGCAGCCGTTGCGCAGGTGGTAGCACCCCTGGGAGCCGCGAGGTTTAGCCTGGATGTGCATCACGGCATCACTGCGCTGGCCCTCCCAGGAGCGCACGAAGGTGGCGGCAGTTGCACACATGCCAGCCGTCTGTGGAGCACGAGAGGTAGGCGGCAGGAATGGCGGGATCAAAAGGATGAGGGGAAGGAGGAAAAGGATGGAAAACACCAGCGTTGCATAAAAAACGAGGGCTCAATCAAAAGAGGGTTTGGGAAGCACATTGTACGTGAGAAGTCCCGCCACACTAGGTGCCAACGAGCATGTGCTAATATAATTGGTCGTCTCCCCTTGCTTGTTACAACGTGGTGTTCATGAGGATCAGCCCAATCCCCCCTCCCCACAACAAGGAAACTATGCGTCAGCAGTTTCACGAATTCAGGTCCGAACGGGCACGTGGTAAGCGCGTGACCAGTGCCCACGTGGGCGATGCTTGATGTATCTCGGTGACCATGTGCTTCTTAATTGTGATACGTCTACGCCCCACAAAAAACGGCAAGACTACCCGACAGGTCCAGACAACATGTGTGGGAATCGGCTCGTGATACCCCCTGATCGGGTTCCCCCTACGTTGGAGGCACACATGTGGCGCGGAGGTCATGAGGTTCTTGAGATAGACACGCATAGCCCCGCAAACCAGCAATTTTTCCAGAGACCCGAGAGGTCCCTACAATCTGGGCTCGAACGGGCCCGTGATAACTCCTCGGTCGGCGTGCCCTTAGGAATCCTAATGTTAGGTGTAAGGTCTCGGGGCCCTCGGGAGGTCTAAGAATCCATGTCTTGTTAGGCGTTGTCGTTACACTTTCGTTTGTGTTGCTCGCCTTTCTTGAAGATGGAACTTTCTAGTGTCGTTCTCGTGTCGTTCCAGTTTCGTTTCAGTGTTCAGTTTCGTTGTGGCTTCTTTTTGCTTCGTTGCAATTTCGTTCCCGTTTCATTGTTTTGTCGTTCCCGCGTCGTTGCAGTAAACGGAACCAGAGTAAAATTGGACCGAACATCAAGAGTGCGGGCGTCGTTGAAGGGTCCCGGGACGTTGCATTTAACTAATGGCAATGCGTGTTACATCGCGGTGACCATGGAGTTCTGAAAAGAGACATGTCTACCTTCCCAAAATTCACATTAACCACCCCAAGACCTCACAACTTCGTAGGCGCGAACAGGCTTGTGATAGACACCCAGTCGACAACCCACTGGGAAGCCCAAATGCAGTGCTTGCTACATCGCAGTGGTCATAGGCCTCAGCACTGAGACACGTACATCTCCCCAAACGGTAATTCGCCCCAATAGATCCCACCAGTGAACGGGCCAATGATGATTCCTTGGTTGGTACCTCCCGTGACGAGGCCCGAGCGCGATGCTTGCCATGATTGGGTATGGGTGTGAGCGAGTCAGGGTATGAGTGAGTCTGAGTTCGATTGAGTCTGAGCATGAGCGAATCTGAGTGCGAGCAAGTTTGAATGCGATCGCGTACCAATGTGTGGCTGAAGTTGAGCATGAATGAGGCTAGGCGTGAGTTCGTCTAAAGCAGGGGCGAGTCTGATTGTGAGTGCTCCTGAGTGTAGACAAAATCAGGTTGGTAATTGAACATGAAAGAGGTGAGTCTCGGTGTGAGCGGTCATCTCAGCGTGAGTGATTTTGAGCATGAGCGAGTCTGAGTCCGAGTGAGCATGAGTGCGAGTGAGCCTGGGGGCGAGCAGGCTCGAACATGTGTCAGCCCTGAATACGCGTGCGTCTGATGAGCGCTAGTGAGTCAGAGTACGAGTGGTTCTGGGCATGAGCGGAAGAGGAAGGAGGCGAGAAGGAAGAGAGATAGGCACCACACGATCAGCAAGGAACCAACTGCTATAGTATATGGGAGAGAACGGTTGGCCCCAGGCCGTCCAGAGGCAATGCGTTCGATCAGGCCGTGGCCATTTGGGATCAAGCGTCTGTTTGATTCATGTGCGCACGCGGAGAGCTGCAGGCAAGACCATTTTCGTGCAGCGTTGCATCATACCATGGCCGAACACCCAGAACTTGCCCACAAGTTGGTAAGATTCATCGCGCAAAGAGGTGGAGCCATGCCAGCGAACCTCGCGGGTGAGTTTTATGCGGCGAACCCAGGATCGCGGCAAAAGATGATTGGCGGCCTCAAATCTTTCTGCAATGTTCATGCAAATCTATTGCGGTTTAGCATCGAGAAAGGCTCTCCAGGGATCGTCACTGTCGTGAAGTCGGCACAGCCGAAAGCAAAGGTGGAGGCCAAAGCAGGGGCGAAGGCAAAAGCAAAGGCGGAAGCACAGGCATCGCCAAAAGCGAAAGCGAAAGCAAAACCGAAACCGAACATGGCTACTCCTCAGCAGCCCCCTGCACAAGTGCAGAATCGCACCCCAAAGAGCGAAGCACAAGTTGCAAATGCTCTAGCACAATATGTTGCAGAATGTGGAGGTTCCCTACGAGGTAACTCAATCACCCCCTTCTATGAGAGGGATCCGTGCTTTAGGGAAGTGATCAACGCAGAAGGTCGCAAACTTCGACAATTTTGCGATGAACATCCATCGTTGCTGCGGTTCGGTCTGGAGGGAGGGCCTTCAGGGACGATCTCCGTTGTGAAAACTGCGACAACAAAGAAAGTATCGTCTACAACATCAGGCGTCTCAGTGCCCAATGTCACAGACGCGGAGGTTGCAGCCAAGATGTTGCAATACATCCTAGGCCGCGGTGGCACTATTTCTGCAGGAGATATTGGAGAGTACTACAAAACACAGCCTTCGCATAAGACTACCGAAGACGCCTTCGGCACATCCCCGGCCGCTCCCTCGAAGTTGCGCCTAGAAGCGGGAAGGAGCGATGCAATGATGTAGCGTCGTTTGGTTGTGGCATTGGGCGTTTGGCCATGGTTTTGACCTGCCTCTGGAGGGCTCTTGGCAAACTCGCGAGGGTACCCGTGAAGGCCTCTTTGGAAATTTCGTGGGACCTTCTTGCGGGAAATATGGGGGCCTGCTGGTGGCATGTTGGAGGTGTTCGAAAATATGTGAGGAGTTCAGTGCGATTTTAAATCCGCATTCCGTCCGGGCCCCATCTCGAGGTTCATTTGGATTGGAACGTCATTGGGGATCCCTACCGCTATCCGAGAGAATCCATCCATCATCTGGCTATTACGAGACAGCCTGGTGTCATCGTTGAGGACATGTTGGGCCAAGTTGGGTAGTATTTGGCGGTCTGGCCCATGTTGCTGCCGTCCGCGACCTGTCTTGGAAGCTGCTTGGCTCGTATACTCTTGTTGCTCTTGCTCCTCCTCCTCATCATCCTCGTTTCTCCCCGCTTCTCCTCCTCCTCCTCCACCACCTCTTCCTCGTCCTCCTCCTCCACCTCCTCCTCCCCCTCTTCCCTCTCCTCCGTCCTCTTGAACCCCATCTTGGAGGCTTCTCCAGGGCCACTTGAGGGTCTGGGGGCCTCTGAGGGCCTTCTAGGGGGCCTTTGGAGTCTGCTTGGGGCGTCCGGGGGCCTCTTGGAGGCCGCTGTGGGGCCTCTTGGGGGCCTCTTAGGGATCTCGGTGGCGTCGTGGGTACCTCTTGGGGCATGTGTGGGGTGTTGGAGGCAACGAAGGACAGGCCCGAAAGGCAAGTTCGAGTTCCCCCTTTTGGACCCCTCCTAGGGTTCTCCGGATGGCCTTCTGGGTCATCTGAAGCAGTGCCCCCCCCCCAGAGGCCAAAATCTAGCCAAACTTTCGTACAATCAAAATGGTTTTGGCATTGTCGCCGAGGCCTCTTGGAGCATCTTGGGTGCCTCTGGGGGGCCTCTTGGGGCCTCTTGGGCGTCTCTTGGGAGCCTCTTGGGGGCATCCTGGGGGCCTCTTGGGGGCCTCTTGGGGCCTCCTGGCCACCTCTTGGGGCCCTCTTGGGGCACCCTTGGGAGCCTTGGGATCGCTCGTGGGGCCATTTCGGAGGAGATCGATCAAAGAAGGGGGGGTCCTTAATTAGCGCAGCCCCCCCAAGAAGCCAAAATGGGGCCAAAACCTTAGTAAAACCAATGATGGTGGCTTCCTCGCCGAGGCCGTTTTGGACGCTCCGACACCTCGCGGTCCCCCCCGTCCAAGTCCAGGGGAGGTGGTAGGGGGAGGGGTCAAGACGCCCTCCCCGCCCGCAAGCCGTCTCGCTCACTCCCACCCGCCCTCCCAACACATAGGTAGCACCCGAGCCTGGCCCGAGCCGCAGCATATGCAGCAGTCGTCTTTGGATGGGCAGCTACTGGGGGCGAATCCGCCGCCGCAGCCGCCGCCGCCGCCGCAGCCCTCGCTGCCAAATCGCCGCCGCCGCAGCCGCTGCCGCCGCAGTCGCTGCCGCCACCGCTGCCGCCGCCGCCGCCGCCGCCGCCCCCGCCGCCGCCGCCGCCCCCGCCGCCGCCGCCGCCGCAGCCGCCGCAGCCGCTGCCCTCGCCGCAGCCGCCGCAGCCGCCGCCGCCAAGTGTACTCTGTATTGGTTTTTGACAGGGATGGTGGGGGGAGGCCGCATCGGGTTCGCTGCGCATGCTCCGAATTTGGAGACAGAGCGTGTTTTGTACTGGTTGTTACAAGGGATGGTGGGGGGCCCTCATGGACCTGGGTTGGCTGCCAGTCGCCTGGGGGGGGGGGGGGTGTATATCAATAGGGAACAGTGATAAACCCTTTCCCGAAGGGGAAGAAACGAGGTTGGAAGGGGAGCCGCCCTAAACCACCTACGCCCCGAGGGCTGGCGGGAGTTTTGATAGCATCGAGATGGCACCAAACGGGGCCCAAACGAGCCCCGATAAGACTGTGAGGGCGCCCCCGAGACGACCCGAAGTGGCGATTCCGCCAGGGGCATCCTCACCAAATCAAGAAGTTACTAGCATCGACATTCGGTAAAAAAACAAACAAAAACGTTTCGCCTAAGAGGTCTCCCCACATTCGAATGCAAAACATGTAGGGGCACGGCCGAAGACACAAGAGCACGGCAGAATACACACGAGCACAGCACAGCACGCAGAACACACACACAAGAGCACGGAAGAACACGTAGGAGCACGGCAAACATACAGAATACACAGGAGCACGGCAGAACACACAGGAGCACGGCAACACACGCAAGAACATGGCAGAACACACAGCACACATAGGAACACGGCAAAACACAAAAGGTACATGGCAGAACACGCAGGAGCATGGCAGAGCACACAGGACACAGGAGTACGGCAGAACACAGAAACATGGAATAACACAGGAGCAAGGCGCAGGAGCACGTCAGAACGCACAGGAGCACAGCAGACCACACAGAAGCACCGCAAAACACACAGGAGCACGACAGAACACGCAGGAACACGGCTGAACACACAGGAGCACGGCAGACCACAAAGACTACATTGGAGCACGGAAGAACACGTAGCAGCACGGTAGAGAACGCAGGAGCAAGGCCGAACACACATAATACACAGAGGAACACGGCAGAACACGCAGGAGCACGACAAAACACCCTGAACATTCCGTAGCCATTTTGGCTCAAGGCCATGGAGAGTCTGACGACCGCAAGTCGTTCGCGGCGCTCTGAGCGCGAGGGTCTCCGCGCTTTGGGCCAGTGCAATTTCTTGTTGTGCTTCTTGCTCTTGCAGCGTGGGGGCGTTGCCCAGCGGGCAGCGCAGCAGGCGCCATGGCGAGGTCCCAGCGTGGCGGCAGCAGTGGCAGGCGCAGCAGGACCTATTGGATGTGCAGCTGCGGTAGTTGGAACTGGGGCTGGCGCTCCACGTGTCTCAGCTGTGGGCATGCCGCACCGCCCTGGGCGACGGAGTCATCCCGCGGCAAGGCGAAGCCCGAGGCAGACACGGACGGCTGGGTGGACCAGCCTCGCGGGCGTCGGGCCCAGCGGCAGGCCCGCAGCGCAGCGTCGCGCACGGCATCCACCAAGTCGCAGACCTCGGCTTCAGCGGCGAGTGGGGCGCCCAGCAACGGAGGAGCCAAGAAGCGGAGGAGCGGCGGCGCCAGAGCGCAGCCGAGTGGGCTGGAGCCAGCCATGCGCCAGGGCTCCTCACGCAGCTGGACAAGCTGCCAGAGGCCTGGGGCTCCATCAACCTCGAGGCGGCACATGCGGCCATACGCACCCAGGTGGAGGCGGCGCGGGCGCAGCTCGCGGTGCCCCCGCCAGCGCCCGAGCGAGCGCCTTGGGCCGAGTCCTGCCCCATGGACGAGACCAGCAGCGACGACGGCGAGCTCGCAGGCGGCAGCGCGCCTCGGCCGCCGCAGGTCGCAGCGGAACGTGGCCAAGCCGAGCGGCGCGGCAGCGCGCTCGGCGAGTGGCCGCAAGTGTCCCAGACATGCAGGAAGGAGCTGGTCGCTGAGGCTGCGGACCTGGCCCCTCTGGCTGCTCGCCCTGCTGGCCACGCAGCTGGGAGCAGCAGCGGAGGAGTGCAGCCAGGGCAGGCGAGCGCCTAGCGGGGCCAGTGCGGCGGGGCAGCGCCTGCGCGCGAGCAGCGGCGCCGAGGATGGGGCGCTGCCCCAGGCCCTGTGCGCCCATGCTGCCATGGCGGTCTTCATTCCCCAGTCGGACGGATGAGTCCGACCAATAGTGTACGGCCTACGGCCCATGCGCATCTGGGGCAGCCCGAGGCAGCCCATCGGCGCGCCGTGGGAGGCGGAGCACGATCACCGCTTCTCCAGGGGCAAGGTGGACCGCAAGTTTGACAAGGCAAGCTGGCTGCGCAGCGTGTGTGCCGCCTTTGCCGCCTTAGCGCGAGTGAGGGGGTTTGCCTCCGCCAGCCGCTGCCTGGACATCACCAGGCTCTACGAGAACCAGCGGCGCGCCTTCCTGTGGCGGTGCGGAGTCGAGCATGGCTTCGACCTGCGGGTACTTCGAGGTATGCACGTGCTCTACCAGGCGGGCACTGGGATACGCAGGGCTGGACTCTCTTCTGTAAGACCTTACTGGCCAGGAACCTCTGCACGGGCGCCGCCTTCGCGGGGCGAGGAGTGCACGGGGGCCGAGTACGAGCCCCTGGGGCCGCGCGCCGTGCGCGCGGGCCGCCCCCGCGCCGCGGGAGCGGGGCTGAACCCGCTCCACAAGGACGGGCCTGCGGCCAGCGCGGCGTGGAGTCGCTCGGGGCGCTCGGGAACGCGGCGGACTTTGCAGAAGCACCACCGCGCGCAGGCGGAGATCGTGCAGGAGCTCGGGCGCTAGCGCTGTCGGGCCGCCATCATCTGGCACGGCATCGCGGCCAAGGATGGCGAAGAGCTCCTTCCTGCTGCTGAGCGGCGCCAGGTGCGTTTGGCCACTGTCGAGGAGCCCCAGGCGGCGGAGGATACCGCTGGCGCTGAGCTGATAGCCAAGTGGCCACGGCTGGAGAACGCTCGTTCGACTGGCAGCAGTTCGGCCGCCCTCTCGGCCAGTGCTGCAGCCTTCAGCATCCTGAGACTCGCCCTGTCCGACGCCTGCGCTGGAGAAAGTGGGGGCACCCAGGGGCCCGAGGCGTGCTCCATGCGCGGCGCCTGCGCGACGCTGGGCAGCCGCTCAAGGGAGAGGCCTCGCCTCAAGGAGCGCTGCCCAGGCGGCGAGGCCGACGAGGCGGGCAGGGACCAGCTCAGCATGTAGCCACAGGGACTCCATCCAGGAGGCAGGATGCAAGAGGGGGCACGAGCTGCCAGGCACAGAGTGAAAGGATGTGGCATTCCCGCCCTGCGTCCGCAGGGGCCTTTGCCCGAGCATGCGCAGGAGGGGTGCCTGGAGTGGCAGGGCATCGCAGCGGAGCCAGCAGTCGACTCCTCGGCCACTGCGA